TTATGACCTTATTCTCGTAATGTTACAACTTTATTCTTGTAATTTTGCGACTTTATTCTCGTAATGTTACAACTTTATTCTCGTAATGTTACAACTTTATTCTTGTAATTTTGCGACTTTATTCTCGTAATGTTACAACTTTATTCTCGTAATGTTACAACTTTATTCTCGTAATTTTACAACTTTGTTGTCGTAATTTTACAACTTTATTCTCGTAATTTTACAACTTTATTCTCATAATGTTAAGACTTTATTCTCGTAATTTTACTACTTTATTCTCGTAATGTTACGACTTTATTCTCAAAATAAAGGGGAAAAAAATCTCTAGCCTGGCCTTAATACTCTAAATTTCTAAATACGGAACGATTCCATTTTTCAATGGACGGTTGGCAACCCTAGGTCCAAAATTCATAAATATTTACTCGTGGCTATGATGCCAACATCAGAATGAAAGGTTTCTGCTTTTGATAAGAATAGCAGTTTGAAGCTCAGAAGCTACTTGATCGTAGCAGCTTTAACATAGACCTGAGAAATTGCTTCTTCTCTGCATGACATTTCTTTCTCAAAAACTGAAAAAAAGAGAACAAGGATGAACGTCATCAAGCTTTAGATTCTTGATGCCGACTAGCAAACAGGTCAGAGGGCTTACAGAGGTTACCAACTTCCTTCAGGACATTAGCTCTAGCGTTAGCGTTATCTGACCTGGTTGACAGTATTTACACCAACAACTTTGATCATTTTGGACCAGTTAAGACCTCAGAGTCCTGAAAGGAGCGAAACACCTGTGTGTCATCTGCATAAGTTTGATAATGTAATAAAATGGAAGCTTGAGGGACCAAATCAATCCGCCTTTGTTCAAACGTGGCTCTAAAATCCCTCCTGAAAGACAACAACCTGAGCTACCCAGATGGCAGCATTATCCAAATAAACTCTGCTGTTAGCTAGCCTACAATTAAAAAGCTGTCGAAATATTCCAGACAGAATGAACAATTTTAACTGAATTATACTCGGTTGACATAAACAGCATTAAGTAATAAGTCAAATTGTGTTAATCAGTGAATAACCAGAAGCTTTTATTGTTTATCATTATAACATGACTCAAATCACAAATAATCGCCACGTTTTTAAATGCTGCACAATAAAAATGTGTCACTAGCTGTGTTCCCATTAGCCATTAAAGTGAATGAATTTGCTTAATGGAGGGCAACCAAAAAAAACACTTCTTGTGTTTTTCGATAAAAATCCTTCAACCAAGAAGAGGGGGATTTCTGCTGTATCTAAATTTCTTTATTCCACAAAAATGAAATACATTTTTTTTTTTTGTATTATTATTATTTTTTCCCCGCACTGAATACATCAAATGATCAATATCCAGATGTCACTACTGGAGAAAAAGGTGAAGAAGGCAACAGGAAGTAGTAGGAGGATGATGGCGGCCATGTTTTTTTAATCTCATGATTGTTTTTTTTCATTCAATGGAAGCAACACAATGGTAAAGTTATTTTCAACATTACTAGGATATGGAAAAAGGTTGGAGCAAATTTTTAATGGAATTTAGCAGCTCATCTGTCCCATTGGTTCAAAAAATCTTTAGTGCCTGTGCGCTGATACTGAGCTCTGTGAGGTTAAACATTAGTTATTCTTCTTCCCATCTCCTGTTGTTAGTTAAGCTTTATATAAGCTTGAATGACTCAAACTTTGTTCTTTACAGCAGAAACCAGCAACATTTTCTTTGGAAACTCATTTGAACTCTCTAAATTCAGTGTTTTAGTAGGAAAACAAAGTCGAGAAACCAGGAAGGATGGGATCCTGACAGGGATGATGGATTGTTTGTTTCTCATCTGTCCACCTTCACAGGTGTTCCTGCAGTTGTCATTCTGCAAGTCTGATCCGGTGGAACCAGAACCCAGATGGATCGTGAAGAATGGCGAGATTCTGGCCCGCCTACATTTACAGCCTCTTCCTTCCATGAATAAACACCGTCTGCTTATTCAAAGGCTGAAAGCAGCTCTAAGTGTCGGTGAAATGAGGAAATGACATCCTGCAGTTAAAACCCTAAATGTTTCAGTGAATCAGATTTTTTTTCTTCTTTAAACTATGGAGGAATTTGGTTCCTGGTTTAAGTTCCAGATATTCAGGCTGTGCAGGAATAACTTGATTCCTCTGCTCATCTACAGGCAAGAAGTGAACCAGCTGCATTCTTGAGAAGCAGGAAGAGACAGAATGTTTAGACCTTATTCTGCTGCGCTCTTTCTCACCTTTGTGATGTTTGGCTCTTTTGTTGGCCTCGGCGCTGAGCGTGAGGACCAGGAGGAGCAGCAGCGTCACTGAGAGCAAACTTTTCATCCTACAGAGACCAAGACAAAGACAGAGGGGTTACAGTGAGGCTCATCAGCAGACGAGAGCTCCAGCTGCTGCAAGCATCAACACTGAGTTTGACACGTGCACAAATGTGCACTCACAGAGGGAGGGGCCCCGTGTGACTCTGTGCACATCACTGTGCACATGGAGGGATTACTGACCAGGCTTAGTTGGCTCCAGCACAAAGGGGGTCAGATTCACAAAACAGTGTCACAAGGAAGCACAAAACCCGTTTATTTACTCAGAAAATGTTTTATAAAGCGAGCAAAGCTGCTGAGAGCAGAATAAACCCAATAAACCACAGAAAGAGACAATGAACTCCTTAGAAATACACTGAACGGCTCCAAAGAGACAACATAAGCACAACGAGGACCAGATACGACTGGATCAATGGAGAGCCCATAAAATGAAAGAGGCTCATGAAGAGTGGTTTAAACCCACTGAAAATGCAAGAACATAACTCAAAAGAGACACAAGGAAACAACTAAAACTGACTCAGAAAAGCTCCAAGGAGACAGAATGGATCAAATAAAACAGAAACAAATAAACAAAAAGAGCTCAAACTGACTCAAAATACCCTCGCAACGTTTTATACAGCGAGATAAACAGTCGATTAGAAAAACCACGGAAAGACCAAATCACCATAAACAAGAGCAAAGAGCCTTGGAGACGCGTCTGCAGCCGAACGCCATGAAAACCAGCTGAAACTGGAAAAATCTAAGCATTATCAAAGGCCTCAACACATAATACTAAATACAAGGGATGTAAAATAAACACAGTAGGACAATCAAAGGGACATTAGAAAATCAGAATCAAATATTTTATCTAGAAAGAGAAGAAGAAAGTCTTTAGATCAGATTTAGATAAAGGACCCGAGTCTCTGCAGATCAACACCAAGCAGAGAGAAAAATCCAAACGTGTTTCAGCCTGAATCCCAGCAAAGCAAGGAGATGAAGGACTTCAGTCCCAGCATGGATCCCTTACAGCGACGTAGGCGTCATAAAACAGGTGCAGGAGTTACTGAAGATGCTTCACAGGTCAGTAGATTATAGGGATTATATTGATTAAAGATCCCGACTAAAGGTTTTAATCTAAAGAGACACAAATTTAGAATTCAAAGTAAAACTAAATACTTAGAAGTGAATGAAGAAAGCATGAAAAGACAGGAAACCTGATCCTAAATGCAGCTGATAAGCTGATGCAGCTGATGGAAAACCTCACAGTTATTTTCACTTATCTAGTTTGGCTGCTTCAAATGACGCTCAGCCATGTTTGCGTTTTGAGCGAACCTTCAGGTTCTGCTGTTATTTCTGTTTCAGCAAATACAACAAAAGAGCAACAAAAAAAAAAGCAAACATATCTTGCATGTTGGTTTTTTTTTCTTCAGTATATTGGTGTTTAACGTTTTTTAACTTTCTTTTTCAAAGTATTTTGTGATCTCCGCCTTTCAAGAATTATTTTAACACCAAAACCAAACATCCTGCCTCTTCTTTTTCAAAAATGGCTTTTAAATAGAAACTATAAAGCGAACAAGAAAAAAATATTATTTTAATATTTTGTTGAAGTCTTTCAAGAGCAAATGTGCTGCCACAAATTGTAAAAATAAAAACGATGAATGTTATAAATTTAATTTCGAAACGTTGCCTCTTCACTCTGGTAATTTTACGATTATACAGATACTTCATAATGTTACAATATCAATATCTAATGTTAGAAGAACTTTAATCCCATAATTTGGGCGTTTTAATCTCTTCTTTTTATCGTTTAATTCTTGGAAGTAACAATTCCAAACTTGTAATCTTACTTTAATCTTGTAATATTATAATGTTACTCCAGTAATTAATGACTTTATTCTCACAATTTTACGACTCATTTCGTAATGTTACGATTATATTCTAATCAAAAAATCTCAGTATTTAACAATTTTGTTATTCTACTATTACAACTTTCCTCTAAAGTAAAGTTATAACTTTAATCTTGTAATGTTCTGACTTTACGCTGGTAATTAACAACTTTATTCTCATAATAGTACAACTTTTATTTTATATTGTGACAACTGCAACCTCTTCTTAGAACTTTATTGTCATAGTGTTATGACTTTAATCTAGTAATTTACCATTATATTCTGGTAAGGTTAAAATGCTAATTTCGTAATGTTGCAGTTTTAATCTGCTTTTGTTACATATTTATTCTGTTAATGTTATATTTTCACACTCATAATATGACTTTAATCTTGTAATTTCACGACTTTACACTGGTAATATATCAACCTTTATTACAATGTTACTACTGTAATCTTGTAATGTTAGAATCTTATTGTTGTAATGTTCCTGTAATGCTACATTTTTAATCTCATAATGTTACGACTTTACCCTGGTAATGTCAAAACTTTACTTTCAAGATGTTAAAAGTTAAATCTCAAAATGTTACAAATTAATTCTCCTAGTATTAAAACTTCTTCTCATAATGTTACAATTTGTACTTCGTAATGTAACGTCTTTATAGTGTTAATGTTGGTATTTTATTCTTGTAGTGTTATGATTTTAATCATGCAATCTTATGCTTTGATGGCATATTATTTTCAGAACAGTTATACGACTTTACTCTAATTATTACGACTTTATTCTAATCATATATATATATATATATATATGTATTTATATATGAAGGTTCAGAATTAGATCATTTCAAAGTGTGTTTCAGAACTAAAATGAGTTATTGGGGTGGTTAAGAAACAATTATGATCTAGCTTTTCTATTTAACAGATGTTCAAAGCAAATAGCAACTTCACAACACAAATAAAAAATAAAAAAGAGGCACACAGAGAGGAAAGAAACCAGGAAAAAAGCTCCTAACATCTGAAAACAGTCTGATTTAATGCTACATGATCAGAACACGCCTCAAACATCCGACAGAGAACAACTTTAGACAAACAGGGACAGAAAACTGTTGCAGACGGACCACTGTGGGGCGTAAGACCACGGAGACAGAAGACAGCCTGTGTTGTTCAGGGCCTCCTGCTGATGCTTCCTGATGAAATAATCTGATTTTTCAGCTTTGAAGCCCTTCTATTGTTGTTCTAATCTGCTGAAGGATCCATCCGTGCGGCTCTGACTGGACCAGATGGTCAGAACTGGGAACGGATCAGATCCCTGACATCCTCCTCCAATCTGAGGGGCTTTAAACCCAATAATCTGAGTGTGGTGGTGGCTTCAGGATTATGGAAGTGGGCTAATGTATGCAGAGCGTGTTCCTGCTGCCAGCGCATGTTGTTCTCTGTGTTTCTGTGGAACGAGGGATGCTTCAGATGTGAGCTGGCTCTTTGTGCTCACAGATGACAGGCTCCTCTTTCATTAAAGCTCTGCTTCTCTTTCACATGTCAGCTGGCCTCCTCGCTCCTCCTGCAGCCTTTCATCAAGAAAGAACCGGCTCTCAGCAGGCCTCCCGTCTGCCCCCCACCGATGAAGAAGGGGAGGAGGGGGGCTGCTTGAAAGAGCTCTTTAGATACCCTCTCAAAAGAATACTGATTCATTGGAGCAAAACAAAGCCTCCTCTAGCCTGGTTTCACTTCTCTAAAGCTCAACACAGATTCCACGCTACCTTGTGGTCCGTACCCCCTCCGAATGGAAGCCCATCAACATAAGAAAACAATCAGGTCTTCACGGGAAGAAAAGAGAACGGGATGCTCCCTTTGGTTCGAGGGCAGGAACAACATTTAAAGAACTTCCTCAGAAATCTGAGGGTTCATCTGGGATTCTAGAGGAAAGACGCCCCCTGGATTTCCCCTGTCTGCCCTCTGGATAATCTAGAGTCCCACATTCTGGGGAGAAGGCCATCATGTGAAAGAGTCCTTTGAACATCACTAAGAACCTGATTGGACCCTGACTGAGGAAAAAGAGCAGCTTGCTGATCTCCGAAGGCGTTCAGCTTCTTCTGTTTCTGATCTGACTCAGAGGAAAGTCTGTTTCTGTGTGAAAGTCTCCTGAAGCCCAGGCTGCCTCCAGAAGGACCATCAGCTCCACTGACAAACACAGGAGCTTCTGCTGCACATCAGGAAAATGATGGTAGATGTTCCTCCACCTGCAGAGACCCAACTTTAAACTCCATCTAAACACCATTCCAGGATTTCCCCTCTGCTGTCCTTCTTAAATGTTTCCAGCTCCTAATTTCTGAGAAGAAACTTCCTTTTCCTTCTGAACTTACTGAAAACCCAACAACCCGCCGCACCCTCACTGATGCCTCACTTCCTCCTTTTTATTCCTTTTTTGTGTTACTCTTCCTTCCTTCATGTCAATTTTACTTAGACACCATTTTTCATTCTTTTATCTCCTTCTTATTCCTTCCTTTCATCTCTTAGTCTGATTCCTTCCTTTAAACTGGAGCCCAACACACTGCAGGATGTAGGTGCCTCTAGGAACACATAATGAGCAGAAACAGCTGGAACTAAAGCTGCATGCTTGAACCGGTCTGTGCAGAAGCAGTGGAACTAAAAGGCGGCTCATAAATTCCTTCAGAAAGAAGCTTTTCTTTCCTCCAGGTGAAGATATTTCCTTTAAAACTCGCCAAAGCCTCTGAAGATGAACTAAACGATGAATCCTGGAAAGAAAGGCGCCTGGAACCTGAATCCCAAGCTGATAGAAAAGCTGCAGACTTACGTGTCGAGCTCAGAGGAGCAGCCTGTCGAGCTGTGGAGTCGTCGCTTTCTGTCTGGGATTCAGTGGCTGCTCCAGAACAACCCCTCTCTCTCACACACACACACACACACAGCGCTGAGGACCAGCCTGCTGGTGACATCACAAGCTGTAATCCTGCAGAACAAAACAAGCTCAGCTCATTTACATCAACACAAGAGTGATGGTTTAATCTGTGAAATGTGTGTCATGCAGGATGAGTGTTTGACAGGAACACCCGCTTGTTACACACAGACGCACACACACACACCTACATAACAAACATTTCTGCCTTTGCAGAGCCTTTACATTGACTTACGTTCATTTCTAAAGCCTGACTGTAAGTCTACATATTACAGGTTCATACCTAAATCTACCGCCAGACTAAACTCAATATATACCTCAGTAATAATTAACTAATTAAGAACTTTATTAATCTAATAATGAAGAAATTCCCTTCTGTATTTAACCCATTCATTGGGCTGCCACTGTGCGGTGCCCTGGGAGCAGTCTGAGCTTAAGGGTCTTGCTCAGGGACCCAGAGTGGCTGTCTGTGGGAGTTGAACTCAGAACCTGTTGAATGGATGTGCAATGATCTAACCTCTAGGCCTCCACTCCCATAAACGTGACCATGACACAGAGACAGCCTTCCCCCCTCATGAGATCCAGGCGTCGGGCCCCAAAAGGAGCCGTTGGTCCCCATAACGTGCTATTTTTC